TAGAGAGGAGGAAAGAGTTGAGAGGAGAGTCTCAGCAGCAGCGTTCGGATGCAAGAGTGAGAAGGAGTCAGTGGAAGGGAGAGCTGATAGAACAGAGGATGCTAGGGAGGAGGGAGAGAGGGTGTGAATGTTGCGACGAACAGGTACAGAGTCCGTCAATGGGGCAGGGTCGTTAGTTATAGAGAGTGGGAGAGAGTAAGAGGAAGAAGTGGTCAGACACATGAAGTGGAGTTACAGAGAGGTTAATGGTACAGCAGTTTCTAGTGAAGTTGTAGTCAAGGTGATTGCCGGCTTTGTGAGTAGGAGGAGAGGGACTGAGTGACAGAGCGAAAGAAGAAAGTAGGTGTAAGAGGTCAGATGACCTCTCTGTCTGGATGTTGAACTCACCTAGAAGGATGAGCGGGGGGCCATTTTCAGGGTGGCCATTCTGACCTTAGCTCGGACGGTAAAGGACAACAATGGTTAATTGCACCGGGTGAGTAACTGTTACAACATGGACTTCGAAAGACAGTGGGGTGGATGGTGGAAGAGGGTAAAGAGAAAAGCTCCATTTGGGTGAAATGAGTAGACCTGTGCCACCACCCCTACCAGTGGGCCTGGGTGTGTGCCTGAAGGAGAAGGCGGAGGAAAGAGTGGCTGGGGTGGATGTGTTCTCAGGTGTGATCCAGGTCTCGGTGAGAGCGAGGAAGTCAAGCGACTGCTGGATAGCGAAGCCAGAGATGAAGTCTGCCTTGCGAGTAGCTGACCGGCAGTTCCAGAGACCTCATGTGACGAGGTACTGGACATGAGTGGAGCGGGTTGGATAGGTGAGAGAGAAAAGGTTATGATAGAGATCGGATCTGGCCCGAGGCCTGTAGTATCTGCAGGAAGAGGTTTGGACTGGTATGGGTAAAGGGGTCAAACGCATAATTTAAACTAGAAGAAGGCGCCGCATTCAGCCGCCTCGAAGACTACCACGAAAGACTCCTTAGTCATTGTCCTGCTCGTCTTCGTGCTGCGAGGATAAGCTAACCCTTCACTCAATCTGTAGTTAAATACTCCCTCGTTAGTGGAAGTCGGCTACGGCTGCGCTGACCACTCCCCCGTCATTTAGGAGACAAAAGGTTGATTGGCCTCGACAGAAACTCCTCAAAATGCAAAACACCAATTGCTTGACACTCTAGTCAGTGAACAATCACCATGTGGCGTTTTGTCAAACTGGGAGTTTAAGGATGCAAGTCTTATTTGATTCAGAAGTGAAGGCAAAACAGACCTAGATCAGGTCAAACCCAGCAGAGTTAGGAGGGCACACTGGCAGTTAATAGTAGAGTCTAGAGCAGTGGTCCCCAACCTTTTTTACCTCACGGACCGGTTTCAAGTCAGACAATATTTCGCGGACCGGTCGAGAAGGTCCGACGGGTGGGGGGGGGGGGGGAGTATTAGTCAATTGCGGGCGGAACGACCGACAGAGGGGGGGTAGTAGTCGTTGCGGGCGAAACGACCGACGGGGGGGGGGGGTTGTAGTCACGCGCTCTGTGTTGGTCGGCGAAACTGCCGAGGACAAGGACAAAAGGACAAGAAAAACGCCTGGTGACGCGTGGGGAATCTGTCAGAGGGACGAGCGCACATAATTAGGAGAAAATCCGGTCAATTTTGAAAATAAAACATTTTTCAGAAAAAAAATATATATAAGTTTTCTGTGGTGCCAAACGGCCCGGTGGTTGGGGACCACTGGTCTAGAGCACCAACTGGTACTAAAAAAGTGAAAGAGTTTAAGCAAACTAGGAGCCAAGATAACCTCAAACAGAACAGGCAGTAAAACGGCAAGAACTAAAGCAAATCAGCAATCAAATTAACTTAAGACACTAGAATCAACAACAAATTTAGCAGACTAGCTTGGTTTAATGAAAAAGATACTTAGTCCGTTTTCAGGTCGCCTGGATGTCTGATGGCCTTGTAGAAGAGATGCACGCATTGTTCATTCTGTACACATGGCATCCATTGTAGTCTGTCCATCCCGGGAGTGGGATCTCTCCTCTGACGTTCTCCCCAAGGTTTCTTCTCTTTTTTCCCTCTTGAAAGGGTCTTTGGGGAGTTTTTCCTGTGCGGGTTTCGAGATAGAGGATGTCGTATGTGTACAGACTGTAAAGCCCTCTGAGGCAAATTTGTAATTTTGGGCAATACAAAATAAAATGAATTGAATTAAGTTTTCATTGTGTGGCGGGGGGGCTCGACAGAAAAAATATGGGAACCACAGGTCTAAGTAAAAACAAAGTTGTCAATTGGAATAGAGACTAAATCATTATGAAAATATTTCAGATTCTCTCTCAGCAGTTGCTCTTCAAAGCACACCTAGAAACAATATGAACACAACAAAGAGAATAGTCTCGACAGAACCAGACACATGCCCACCCACCAGTGGGTCTGAAGTGATGATTAAGCGGGACTATTTTTGTATCAGTCTAAACCTGGAGGGAACTTCTGGTTCTTGAGCGTGAAGCCAATTCGGAATCCATGATGAGAACAGTTTTAACGCGGAATTCATTTTCGAAACAGCATTACACAAACCCCACAACAACCACATTCACTAAATACAGTTTAGGTTATTTTAGGAAACATGTTATATGTTACACCTCCGACTAAACAAAAAAAAGGTACTCTTAATTAATTAAAGTCAATTTCCTCTTCAGATACTTTACCTCGAATGCCGCCCAGAGTTTCCGGGACAATGAAAATCAGCATGGCTACATACACATCGAAATCACACTTTATATATTCTCTCACTTCCTTTTAGTGGCACGTTGAAGAGCACCATTCAGAGCTGACCTCTTTGCCAGGAGAACAGTATGGTCGTGCTCTGTTGTGTACTCGTCCAATTTCACAAAGTAAATATGTCATTGCTGTGATTGCTTACTTAGAAAGAAGCCAGAGAAGAATTGAGTCCATGTTATCTCTGGAGGACCCACTCTCACAAAATTGCTTCTCCCCCATGAAATAGCGAGCAGGAACTCTTCAATCCAAGAGCTTTTTCACAAAGAACAAGACACATCATAGCAATCTTCAAAGCCCTGTTTGTGGTGCCTTGTGGGACCCCATGGTACATTTTCCCTTAATCATGTTTTTGTGGGTATGTCACCAAATCTTTCCAAAGAGTACTTTATGTGAGTCTAATCTAAATAGAGATGCATGTTGAAAATAAAAGCGCAAAGCCGGCCTTTATCATAACATGTTTGAAGGAATGAAAGAGGGATGCTGTGTTCACACGCTGCAAATGATTCATTAAAACTTTTGATTTCACTATTGACAATGTAAAAAAGGTTCAAGGTGGAATAAAAAGGGTTGAAGCTTTGCAAAATAACAGTTTTAATGGTAAGTATAGAGATGTAAAATGTAAAGTTAGTTTATAATCACATCACAAAACAAAAGGAGCAAAGCAAGTTCTGTTTCTGTGTGTATTTATTCTTAACGCTACACACACAGAAAGAGGTACGAGAGAAGAACAGTTTTGTACTTAAGGGTACACTTTGGAAGAACGTTCCCTCAATAATACAGTATTGGTCTTTAAGAGGTCATAAGTGTACCTTTTGACTAACAGAAAGGGTACAAAGTGACTTAAAGCAAAAGAAAGAACAAATTTGTACCATTTGAAGGGGTACATGCAGTATTCGAAGTAATTGTATGTATTATAGGCCTATTAGGCCTATTAGTAGTTATAGTTGAGGTATTTAGAACTATTATTATTATTATTATTGTTATAAGCCTTTTATTATTGGCAACATTTAGTTTTAGCTCAATGTGAAGCATGAGACTATTTTGTTCTACAAATCTGTTGACGTGGTGTTTTTGTTTTGAGCTCAGTCAGTTTGGAAAAGCCTGCCTCACACAAGTATGTGGAGGTAAAAGGAAGGAGAAGTTTTAAAGCCGTATCCGGATATTCCCTCATCAGTGCCACCCAGAAGATCACAAGAGAACAAGTGGCAAAAAGATGCCCCAACCTGCCATCCCTGTTCAGCTCAATAAATTGTCCCTGCATTTCTGAAGACAGACAAATAATTTCCTGTGCAGATAAATGGGTCTAATTACCCACCTGAACTAGTCTTCTAAAATCACTGTAAATCACGGTTTGGTGAGCTTTTATTAAACGGTTACTAAAATGGTTGCTGTAGCCGTAACCTAGTTGCTGTAGCTGTAACCTAGTAACATAAAATGTGATTATTTACTGAAAAAAAATCCTAATTCTTCTGCCAAAATATAGTTCCCCAAGGGAGCACACTGGTTGTCAAGCAACAGCGGCGCACTAATACCAGAGACGTCAAACTAGTGCCGAGCAGGACAGACAGGAGTCCGTTCACAAAAAAAAGAAAAGTGTCCATTCACGATTCAACTGTTCATTCAGTAGCTATGTCACTCAGGGGGCTGTCCACGGAGGAACTTTTACAAAAGTTGGTGGTGGAAGGAGGAATCCACATTTCAGAAGAGGAGGCTCAGAAATTTTGAGGTAAGTAAAGTTTGAACTTCATAACTATCACCAAAGACGAAAATGTTTTGAGCTAACATCAAATCATAGAATACAAGATGTCAGCATCGAGCTAACATATAGAACAAATGTAAAGCCTCAGAGCTTTGATTATTAACAGTATGTTAGTGATGACAAAGGTGATAACTCGCCATCAGACTGACAAGGCTGCAAAAGTTGCTGTTTGTATGATGTATTTTTCTGTTGAACATGAGAGGCTCACTTTAAACAATATTATTAATAATAATTAATGATGATAATGAGAAGTAGAAAAATAACATACTAAAAATTTCTGTATAATGACATATAATGATTATATACAGTTTTTAAAAAACTATTTACAAACCAAATTACAGCGAGTTGCAAAAAAGGTTGTTTTTTTATGAATTGTGTCAGTCACTATCTGTATGTCCAGAGTTTCAGTGCTTCTTTTAATAGCTTTTTAATTTATATTTCAGACAATGATGTGGATGGAGAGACAGTAGACTGCAGACTCACAGAAAATATGATTGCATATCTCTTTGACAAGTCTTTCAAAAAGCAGCTAAAATTCAGAGACTTCACACACCGCTACAAGGAGGTCACCGTTACTTTGGAATTGGTCAACCCAGAACAACAAACATGTGAAGCTTCTGTGTCCCCAGCAAACCAGAGGTGGTAATGTATTTATTAGGCTATTTTTTTACCATTTCTTTTTCTATTTTAATCTTGCATTGAGGTGGTGTTGTCCTAATCTGATAATGCTGTTCTTCTGCTGTATTGCAGGTTGGAGTCTACTTGCCACAGACTGCCTGCAGTCATTTCCATTCCACAATTCCCACAAGATGTCCAGAGCCGCTTAGATGCTAAAGAATCGGTCCACAAGAAACAAAAGTACCGTAACAAAATAATTGTGACTCTGTATGACATGCTGTCACAGTGTACAATGTAAGTGTTCTTTTTAAACCTTTTAAATTAAACCTTTGCAAGTAAATACCAATACTTTATCCATACACCTGTTCAACAAGCATACATTTAAACAGGTAGAAAGTGATATTTAAATTTTCTCCTGCATACTCTTATTCACCGTAATATGGTAATGTGGTTTGTTTTGTCATTGTTTGAGACAGGTATCCAACCAACTCGGACTACGTTCAGGTCGTTAAAGCGTTCATTGGGAAGTACCCTTTCTTAAGGGATGTACACGGGAATGGTTATGTAAGTACCTCTCCTTTGGGCTCTAATTTTAACAGATTTTAGATTTACAGAAGTATGCATAATTAACTTTCATGATATCTGTTTGGAACAACCAGCATACCTGGCACAGCCAACTCAAGAGAAAATTCAAAACAGAACGGGCTCCACTAATCAACAATGAGGAAGTAAAACGGGTCAAAGAAAAGTTTCGGCAAGCAAGATCACTGAAGACCCCAGAAGAATCTACATCCACATGTCCAAAACGACTGAAGCCATCTCTAGTAAGTCCCCTCAATCTCACATAAGCTAAGGCAAGATCACATTGTTATATTGTGTACATATGATCTGTAACCAGTGACATCTGCTTTGATAAAGGAATCATGCATTGTGGGGGAGGATGCAACCTCTGTTGAGGCTCATATCAAGGTACTGCTTGAGCAATACAGAAAGTTGCAGCCTGACATGAATCTGGTGAAAGACCGCATGATGAAAACCTTTGCATGGAGACGCCGAGAAATAGCAAAAGGAATGTCAACTGAAGATCTGTTGAGGAGATATCCATTCCTAAGAACATCCGCTGGGGTAAGAACAATTAAGCTGCTGCCAACTTCAGCCACAGTCAGTGCTTTAAATTGCTCCCGGTTTATATATTAACACTTCAGAAATTCTGAAAAAAGGTTCATATAGACTTCTCCTACAGTTGTAATTAATTTCCATTTGTAAGATTTTACTGCATCTGTCCTGGCTGCCACTTCAGCGTTCCTCCTGTGCCTTTCTTTCCCCTATTTTTCTTTTTAAAATCTCAGTTGTGCGATGAGGTTGATGCCATGCACCCCTCTCCAGTCAACATATGCCACCGCATCAGTGAGAACTTCACATCTATTCTCCCAAATATGCTGAAACTTGTCAAGGATTCGCCACTGAAAAAACTATACATGGAAGCAAGAGAGGATGCCTTGGCTGAGGATATTAAAAGGTACTGATTGAGCACATACAACTAGTTAATTTTGCTCCATCATTGTGTCAGTTGTGTGCAGTCCATTTTTTAAAGAGACTATGTACAGTTCCACTGAACTGGTATTGCATTGTTAATCTGTGGCACCTAGTGGGTGTTATCTTGATGATGTTTAATTTGTTTATTTCTCACATGCATTTTAAAAGCTAATACATTTTAGTTTATTGTACTGAACCTGAAGTAATATGCGGTAGCCCGTCTTGGAATTTACAGGTTATTTGTATCAACAAACATTCCTTGAAATGCATTAAAATTGTAAAATCTGCATGACCTAGGAATTGACTTCAGGGGTGGACTCCTCCTCTTGCCATCCATATTCAAGGAGAAGATTGAGAATTTCATTATGCTTGGACAGGTAAATACCTGGTGTCCTGCATAGCCACTAGCCATAAGTTAATGTTCTTTTAGATCACTGTGCATGCTTAATCATATTGATCTTGTTATGTATGCTAACATTCTTTTCTCTTATGCAGAAAAATCCATAACTCCATACCCAACCGTTCAACTGAAAGCACAAGGGTGGAAATTTGCCCTCTTCAGACAGTGCCAGAGTGTGGTCAATGTCGAGGGAATTGAGGTCTGTTCTTGCACTTCGGTGGATGAGGCCTTCATTGCAGCCTTCTGCATGTACTTTGTCTTCAACATGGCATATCCTGGATACTTGAAGAAGACACTGACCTTTCTCCAGAGGCTCATCGCAAACATCACGGGGGATGGAGACAAATCCCTGCCGGTGACTGTAACTCAAATTGTCAACCTTCTTCACTGATCATGCCTGGACTGCATCAGTGTACAAAATGCTCAAAGAGGACCTTTACTCTTAGAAAACTGATTCATCATATTGGACTTGTACATGCACACGACCCTCATTTCAACATAAGCTGTGGGATAAGTAACTGCCAGTCTGCTAGTATCATTCTTTTAGGCGGCATGTTTATCGAAAATTCTTGAAAATTAAGTTCATTCTGAACGTTGAGACTTTGTGGGTGTTGTGTGGGAAACTTTTACTGCCTTGCTCTTATGACAATCACTTCCATGCTTACCACGTCAAAGTTGACAATGACTGGATTTTACTCAGTCCAGGAAATGAGTTGGACCATCAAGCTCTCGACACATATTTAGTTGATGATAGACTGTATGTTTCCTTGAGGTATTCTGTGTAAGTATGTTCTATCTAAATGTGTGTTACTTTTTGAAGTATTCTGCCTCATGTTAATGTGACTGCAATCTTTACATATTGTAATGTTATGCATTGACATTGATTCATTTTATATGTAGCTATATAGAATTGAATGAATTAAGATTTTTACACTATAAATGCTGCCATGTTCATCTCAAAACATACATTTTCATTGATGTTAATAAATGGTAAAGAAGCAATTATTGTGTAGACAATTCTGGTACATTTGTCTCCTCCAGAATAGCTTGTCACTGGGGGGGGTACCCTTTTAAAGTACAGGAAAGTACCCTTTCAATGAGGTACATTGCTGTACCTTATAGATTAAAAGGTACATTTATGTCTTGCAGGGTACACAACTGTACTTGAACTGGTACAATTTGATAAGGTACATAAATGGACTGGGACTGAAAGGTACACAATTGTCTCTCAAAAGGGTACCTCCCCTGCGACAAGCATTTGTACCGATTTAGGTACAAACTGGTACCTCAATTTTTGAGTGTGTACTGACTAGAAAGTGATATTTCAGATTCATAACTTGTCTGCCTGAGCTCACTTTGAACCACATCTGTTCATACTATGAAGTATAAACTATATATAAAACCGTCAACCTCTAGTGTGAAAGAAAAGTTATTAAAGTCACTTTTCACAAATAACTACAAACGAGCTGCCGCTAACGGCGCGGCGGCTCCCGGTAACATGAGCGGCTCGTTGTGTATTATAAATATGTGTTGGTACATTGATGTCCATAAGAAGCAGAACGTGGGCCCGGGGGCAGTCTGGTTCAGGGGCTGTGTGGGTGGTGGGGGGGGGGTTAAGATGTGATGTTATATAGTATATTATAACATTTATATCGTTAGATATTCGAATTAATTATATTACTTAACATTACATTTAAAAGTGAACTCTTCCTTGCTGTCGGCTCACCGGCCTCCGGCCTGAATAAATTAAATCCTCGTCGGCCTGCACTGCAGGATGGCATATGCCGGACCGCAAAGGAGAGATCCGATGTGTCCTCCAAATCGTCTTCTGGAGGGCTGCGTCCCTCGACCGTGTTCGGAGGAGCCGACGGAATGGGACAGCCGAGTTGCAGCGGAAATGACGTATGCGGTCGACAAATGCCTACTTAAGGATCCAGCCTAGCGACTTTGAGACACAGCTAATGAAGCTGCTGTCAGCATGCTTATCCTTTCGGTGTTAGAGCCCCGCTTGACAATCCATTGAGCTGATCCAGCTCCTCAGGGAGGCCCAAACCAGGATTGATCCGGCCCAGGTGGGAGAAAACAAAGTCCAGGGTGGGATTGCAAGCCGCTGCTGTTTTTATTGCTACATTTTGTTCCGGTTTTGCGTTTATTTATTAAGTAGTATTGTTTAGTTAGATTACCTTTTATTTGTGGATCACCCCGACTTCCTGGTCTGCCTGCCCTGTTTGGAACCAGCCCACTATTTCCTGCCGAGGCAGTCTGCTTACTGCCTTTTGCCCCTCAGCTCTCCATTTACTGGACAAACTTGCGAGTCCTTTCACGTCTCATCAGCTCTTGCACCAACACTGCCTTCTCTTGCCTGTACCCCAGAGTGACGGATTTGAGAAATGGGTTTTCACTCTTGTTGTTTAGAAGCATCTTGGGAGCGTTAGCTACTTTTAACACAGGAGTAGCTACAGCGCATTAATGGGAAGTGCTTTAGTCAGTCACCTTTGGCAAATTGCTCTTTTATAGAAAAGTTCCTCTGTTCAATTCATCACTGCTGCGTCGTGGAATGGTGGTATTAGCTCTACAGTAATTTACTCAAATTAAATAATACAGGACAATGCAGCTCATTTCCATTTCCAATTATTTTCAAAAAAAGATACTTAAACCCAATGGCTGACACACTGAATTTAAAAGCTCATTTGTGTGGACAAATGACTCATGCAATTGCTACTGTGGAGGTTAAGGAGGAGCAGATGCTTTGCGATAGAGTCCTGGTGTTACCCCCTTACAAGTTATTGCTCCACTCCCTGCCTCCATGTAGTCCCATTTTGCTGACATTGATGCTGAGCAGTTGCCTTACATGCCTCGGCGTGCTTTGAGGTATTCTGGGGGCTGTAGTGTGTGGACCGGCAGCCATTTTGGGGTGGGGCAGCCGATTCTGTGTGGGAAGGTAGGCGGCTGCGTGTTTGTGTAACTCACACAACAAATAGGGAGCAGAAATAGTGGTTATTTATTTCCATGGTGGATAGCGTTAACGATAACTGTCTTTACGGTGATAAGTAACGGAGATAAGCCACGTCCCCTTTCAGGTGTGAATGAAGCGAAAAAAATGGGACGCGAATGAAGCGAAATAATGCTATGCTTCGCTTTTGGTGTGAACGCAGCATCACATCAACTTGTCCTTGACAGGCCCTGCTGTTTAGTCAGATATGTGACATTTATTTGTCTTCTCCCAGCCCCCTCCAGAGGGGATTTGGTTTAACATGCCATGAAACTTGGGTAACGCTTAATATTAAGGTCCTTGTAATAACCATTACCTAGGAAGGGGCCTGGGTGTCCGATAAGACGTTCAATGGAACGTAGCTCCCTCTTCAGCTCGGAAACCTCCACCGAAGGGGCCATCGGTGGAACCACAACAGTCCGAGCGAAAAGTGCCAAGAGTGGACTTTTCCATGATCGTCTGAAGGGATTCTGTTTTTAGCCAGCTAGCTAGCTAGCCATTGACACAGCCATTGAAATCCCACATTGAGTACCACAGATTTGGTGGGTTGGGTTCTTGCTGATGTTAGTAAGAAAGAGTAAGAAAACAACAAAATATTTCTTTCCAGGTTCGGGATCTTTACTGGAAAAAACTGAATTACAGGCCTCTCTCATCTTTTTAAGTGGGAGAACTTGCACAATTGCTGGCTGACTAAATACTTTTTTCCCCCACTGTAAATGCCTGATCCTTCTGCAGTCGTAGTTTTTTTTTAGTTGTAAACCAGGGTTTGTCGTTGTTAAAACTCTCTCTGGTGCATGATGTTACACAGCTGTCCTTACAGAAGTCAATGAAATGAGTCACACAATGCAAATTCAAGTGTTTTGTTGATAAAAAAATGATATACAGACAGATTGAATGGCTCTAGGTGCGAAGCAGCTGGGAAATATTACAAGTCTTTTATGCACACAAGTAAATGGCATTATTTGCATTTTGAAGATGTTAGGAGGTCAATGACACATGAAGGCCCACACAGTGCAGAGCAGTGACCAGCCTGGGGTTCTGGAGCATCTTATTACCATGCACATGGATTAACAACCATCAAACAAGTGAGAGAGAGGAGGTTTGAGACAAACTGCAGCAACATGTTCAGCGGATGATAGAAAATGTGTGCGTGCACTAAGGCTGTCAAAATTACTCAAAAAGGACGTTTGAATATTCGCTATTAAAAATTACACATATTCGAAAATATTCGGTTGCGCATTATACACGTCAATAACAGGACAAATTAATACAACGAGACATAACTTCTTGTATAGTTAATTTATTTAAGTTTAAAACTTATTTAACAACATATTACCTGCACAAAAATAATTAAAATTAACTAATGCTCTCTCTCTCTGCAAATAATCAAACCAGTGCATGAAGCTGTTGTAACCAATCTAGTCTATTTTATTTGTGCAATATACAGTCAATAGTCTGGTGCGCGCCCACCCGCTAGGCAGACAGTCACATCGCCATTTTATTCATTTATTTATATATATTTTTTTACATTCGAATATTAAATTTCACATTCGAATAGTTGTTTTCTACTACCATTCGAATATATATTTAAATATAGAATGTTCGTTGACAGCCCCAGCGTGCACTACACTTCTGATGGAATATAGAAGTTTGGGAGTAAGCGAATGGATAGCTTGACTGAGAGCTCCCACAAGAATAGCCCACTCCACACCCACACACGTTTTTCTAAAGCAAATTTGGCCGGTGGCTACCTCGCTGATTGGGTCATTAGTTGCTGCCTAACGTCCTGTCACAGGTTTCATTTCCTGTGCCCTCTGTGGGTTAATGAGGTGTGCAACTGTGGAGAGCTGGGGGTGGGCTGTTGGGACGGTTTATTCAGCCAGTGTTTTCTCTCCTACTCGGCCTTATTTGCATGGCAGGAGGAGGCGGACTCCTGAACAGCAGGGATTCTCTCTTACAGTGCCCAGAGAAGGAAAGCTAGCAGGGTGTAGATGATTTGGGCCTATTAGGCCATCCAAACAGCAACAGTTAGAAGTCATGGTTGTTCATTCGTATAAACAGGGGAGACCACAAAGGCATAGCCACCTAAACACACAGGAATGAAAAAATATACCTCCCCAAGACAAACTGTTCCCACACAGAACGCCATGGTGCAGAGCTTAAATTAAAAGGAATATTTTGCTTTTGTTCTGGAACTGAGATATGAAGATAAACAGCACTCGTATGCATGTAATCAAAGTAGTAATATGAAAATAAAAGGGAGTGCGTTGGATTTCAGGCATTGTATTAACAGAAAGCAATAATATACTTTACTTATGATTTTCCCATTTACAATGTTAATTTATCCATCAGGTAGATTTCCAATTATATTAACTTATTTCTGGTAGATTTCCAATTAT